GTAATAGGAACAAAGATGGAAAGAAGAAAATCTAACGGGAAAGTTACACAGGTCTTCTACAAAGATTTCACTACAGAAGCAAGAGGGATAAGAGTGCAAACAAAAAAGAAAAGAACAGAGAGGGAGACATTGGAAGAATATTGTGTGTCAATTTAAGTACTGCTTATCAGCCTCATTTGTACGTTAAACAGACTTTTCTAGCATTACACAAGAAAGGCAATGATTAGCTTGCAGCTAAAAATATTAGGAGCACAAGTCATAATTTTTTTAAGCTCCTTCATATCGTTTGCATGCAGATTTCTTAAAGGCTGCCATTTATGATAAGTCCTTATGCCCATCTTTGAAAATGACCAGGATTTCCATCTTTCCTAGGTAAACCAAAGACAGCAGGACACACTATCATGACTGTAAGAGAGAATATGGAACATTAAGTCCTCGAAACACACCCAGTCCTCCTTTTATATTAGAGGTTTCCAAATCAAACTGATTATGTAAGAAAGTACAACATGACACATCTGGGTGGTGTAGCAGCAGGAAGGACTGAACAAGGATCTAAAAGCAGACAGCTCAAAGGCTACAGCACACACAACTCTCTATATAAGGACAAATCACTAGACAGTACCAAAAAAACGCTGTTGGAGGGTGGTCTTTTTCAAATAAGATGCAGTACTTTAACACAACGGGCCTATTTAGGCCTGAACATTGCCAGATCCTAGTCTGAACAGTGTAGCTATGACTGGTGGAGGGAGCTGCACATACCATAGAGCATGTCTACAGATTTAGTAAGGAGAGGCAGCAAGCAGGCCACTGCTGCCCCACCCAGTGGAAGCACCAGCACAGAAAATAAAGAGGGCAGGGTGCATAAAGTGCACACCCCATATGGTTACAAGTGCTATCCAGGTGAAAATGTCACAGAGATATAGAGGGAAAAGGAGACAAAATCATGCTGATATGGCTCAGTTCTTGGCCTGCCAGTGCCACTGTGTGGGCAATTTGGGATCTATAGGAGAGGAGCTCTAGTAAACGCAGGTATATTCTGAGTAATTCTCCTATGGTTACCAGGTAAGGGGAGGAGGTGAGAAGTACAGGTAATATGAATCAGTCAAACAACCCTTTAAGAAGCTAGGACATTTATCTCAATGGCCCACAAGTCTCTCTGTTCTAATGTATTATGTCTAATTGTCAGGATGGAAACTATTCTGGTCCTTTACCAGTGCAGTGAAGCTAAAATGTGGTTCTGTTTCTCATCCTGGATAAAAATGCAACTGAATAGGATTTTGCTAGCCTTATCCTATTGCCCACAAGAGCACACCACAAAACCGAGATTCAGGGGTGTGCCTGATAGAGGTCCAATATCAGCATACCATCTTTATGGCATATTGAAAGAGCTATGGTAGGTGTCCATATATGAAACACTTGGTTATAAGTTAGTGCTATTTACTTTTTATATTCCCCAGTATTTTTGGGGCAGTTACAGGTTACCCTTAAACCATACTAAATCTGTGGAATGTGAGACAGTGGCAAAGGTAGAATAGAATCACAGACCATGAGGGTTGGAAGGGACCTCAGGAGGCCACGTCTAGTCCAACTCCCTGCTCAAAGCAGGACCAGCCCCAACTACATCATCCCACCCAAGGCTTTGTCTAGCTGGGTCTTAAAAAACTCCAAGGATGGAGAGTCCACAACCTGTCTGGGTACCTGTTCTAATATTTTCCTACACTTCTAGTGGGAGAGTTTTTCCTAATATCTAATCTCAACTTCCCTTGCTGCAACTTGAGACGATTGCTACTTGTTCTGTCATCTACTACCGCTGAGAACAGTCCAGCTCCATCTTCTTTGGAAGCACCCTTCAGGGAGTTGAAGCCACACCCCTGCTCACTAGGTCTGTGCGAAGCAGCTAGTATTTGTTTCAGATTCAGATTCAGCCGATTCAGGGGACAGTGATTCCATTTGGTGATTTGAATTACTGTCCCAAATCGATTCAGCCAGGTCCCCGAATCAGCCAGGCCCAGCCCCTGCCCCTTCTCCCAGCCTAGCAGTGGCTGCCGCAACTCCTGGCACTTGTTTAAAAAAAAAGCCCGGTGCTCACCTGGTGCTGCTGGGTGGTGGGGTGGCGGGGCGGTGATCCCCACTGCCTCCCATTGCCTCACACTGCATGGGGGCAGCACCAGGTGAGCACTGGGGCTTTTTTTTTGAACAAGTGCCAGGAGTTGTGGCAGCCACTGCTAGGCTGGGAGAGCGGGCAGGGGCTGTGTGAGCCCCCTGCCTCCCCCCTCCTGCTCCCCCAGCCCTGCCCAGGCCAGCTCTGGCACTAAAAGAAAAGAAAAAAAAAAGAAAAAAACCCTGAACTTACCACTTTTGCTGGCATGGGTGATCCCTGCTGCCCCCCACTGCTCCCCACTACCCCCCAAAGCTCCGGGGCTGCTGCAGCAGTGGTGAGCCCCGACACTTTTCTTAGCTTTTTTTTTTTTCTTCCCCCTTGGTCCCCTCCCTTGCCTCTAGTCCTTACTAGCTCAGAGTGGCTGCAGCCACCAGGGACTGCCCAAATAATTAAAGCTTTCCAAATGTTTTCCAAAGATTTGGAGAGCTTTGAATCGATTCGGACCTTTAAATTGGTCCCCTGATTCAATTCAGATTTGGAGATTCGGCTGCTGAATCAGGCCGAATCTCCTCCAAGTTGAATCACCACCCAAATCTTCGCACAGCCCTACTGCTCACCAAGCTTTTGAGTGGCAAGATGCAGTTGTGCAGGTTGGAAACATCATTAAGCCTTAACCTGCAACTGCTCTGAAGCTAGTAAAAGACTGTGGCGGAGGGAGGTTTTTATTACCACTAAGGCTGGGGAATTCAACTGGAGTGTGCCGATTGATGTTACCCCATGGTCAGATTGTTACTGACTGTGGGGTTTTTGTCTTACTCTGTAGCAGGGGGAATGGCCCTCTACCTGGGGTCTCTTGGGTGTATATTGGCAACCTTTTATAGAAGCAGTGTCGTGTAAGGGTTGAAGTTAGTCTTATGTAGAATTTACATTATGGCTGTATGGGATGGTTTAGAAAGGGATGTTTCTGCCTCTACCAGGAAGTTGTGCTGGATGCCCTGTGGAGGTCCCTTCCAGCCCTGTTTCTCTATGACTGTAGTATTATATGACTCTATGACCCTGGGGAAGCATTCCTTCTTGTACTCCATGCTCTAGCCACACTCAGCACTAGGCAGCCCTTTCCCTTCTCCCTGCCAGAAATGCAGGAGGTTGGGGAAGGAAGCCTCATCTCCCCTACTCCAAATTCTTCTGGCTAGGAAAGAGATACCTAGATGTGGAGCAAAGCTTTAGCCCTCTGAGGCAAAGGGTATGTGCCTTAACCCTGGCCCAGGGTCCTGAACCTTGTCTCCTGGGGGTTCTTGGAGCTGACAGCATGGTGCCATGTGGGATAGGGTCATACACATTGGGGGTGGGTGGGGTTGTTGGCTTGGGGCCAGCACCATCCCCTGAGCAGTAGAGCTTGGGAGGGTGGAAAGTTTGCCAGGGGTAGAGGAGCTTGCAGCTGTGCATCTTGGGACACTGGATGACTGCAGATTGGTTATTTTATCTCTGTGGAGCAAACTAACAATACCTTAGCTTGAGCTAGGTAGAACAGCTCAAAGATATCCCCTGCCTAACTAACATAACTTTAAGATGCTTAAAGGTACTTACCACAGTTTAACACCCTTTCATGTGTACACACTCTCATTTTAAGTGCCTTTAAAATGGTTTAAAGGAAACCTGTCATGCCACTCTGTGATCCCCAGAAGTATCATAATTATAAGCCAGGCCTTGTTGACGTTTAATTTCGGTATCTTAGTCAATATGCCTTTCTGTCACTTTCATGGCTTTATGTAAGAATATGAATTCATTTTATTAAAATATCATATAATTAGTAATTGGGGGGTATAGAAAATACCAATCCCTGTATTTGAGAGTGGGCATTTAAGTAAGTTCTATCTGGGTTCCCCTAGATCTGAATTCCTCTTAGTGTAGTTGACTGTAGTGAAGAAGGGACCCCGGACAAAAAGGTGGGGGAAAGGGAGGAGAATGCTGGTCATATTTTTTTTTCTCTGAAGGAGCCAGCATCCAGTTGTGCCTTGTGTACCACTGAATTTCCTTTAAGGAAAGGAAAATTAAGATTCTGTTGAAGAATATTTCTCTGTACAGGAAAAGATTAGATTTTGCCTACTACTGACTCATTTTGAAAAGAGCTTCTAGGCTTCAGGTGCCTAGGAGAAACATGTGACTAGCAGTAAGGACTAGAGCTGTGGTGAAGATTGGTGGAACAGGAAAGAAGACCAGAGAATAGAGTAGCAATAAAGATCTTGGGTGAGCACTTTTCCTGGGCAGAAGCTGTTATTTTAGCTGGAAAAGGTTGTGAAGCCTCTGTGCAGTCCAGTAGTGCAAGGGAGCAACCTGCTTTGAGACAGGATTTCATTGAGCTACAGCTAAGAACCATAAGTGGGACATAATGAAGGATGAAGATAGTGGTTAACTATTCCACCTGCCACTCACAGCTGTTGGGCTAAGAACTGTGTCAGCAATGTTTCCAAAGACCTTTGAGATTGCCTCATCTACTATTTGTCTCTTGACTAGGTTCTCCAAAGTTATCCCATTGACCGCTTCTCCCTTTCTCTTAATAAAGCCAGTTTTCATTAATTAATTGTTGTCAAATGGGGACATTTTGCTCATTGTCAGCACGCAGAGCATGTGAGCTGGTTCTCCCCAGTTTACTGGTTCACTTAGGCTAACAAGAATTGAAGTTATGAGTAAAAACCCCAGCCCTTTTTTACTGCCAAGCAGCACTTAGCAGAAGGTTCCCATTCACTGATTTCCTGTCAACTTTGTTCACGGTGCTTTTTTTTGTCCAAGTAACATTCATCACTCACTCAGTAATCATTCCACAACAGATTTCACTAGGCTAGTCAAAGGAGCTATAACATTGGCTTTGAAGGGCTTTGTTTTTCACTCGGGGACTTACCGAGCCTTTTCCTCCTCAGCAGCAAACAGCTGGTCTTGAAGAGACTTCTCTTTATTCTGAAGAACCTTCAAAACAAATCCATTAAATCACCATTTACTCCAAATTTATGTCACTCAGTTTTGTCTCTAGTTTGAAATACTGGGCTTATTGTCTCTTTACTTCTTCTACAAGAAAGTGTGAGTTTTACAGGATGTCTAAGTAAGGTCAAACAAATGCAGAACTCAGCTTGGCGACATGTTGTAGGAGATATTCAGTGTGTGACCAGGTAGAGTAATATCTCAGGAATGTTGCTTGGTTGGTTCACAGCGAGCCAGTGGACAAGGTTGAAACTATATTGCTGCTTAAAAGAGTAAAATATCTTTGTGCACACACAGTGAAACAGGCTTTCAAAGGGATATCATAATAATTTTACCACCCATGTTCTGATGCTTGCTAAACCATAATGTTCAGGCTTGCATCTATGTATGTGATCACTGTCACGTGCATAGGTGTGACCATTTCATGTTTCATTCTCCCCTCACCTGCCAAACTTGCAGAAGTTATTTCAAAATAAAAATTAAATGTCTTTCTATTCTCCTAGAACTGAAGAAGTGGCCGTAGAGATATTTATGCCCTCTTTCCCTTTGCATGGACACAAAGGTCATAACAATGTAGACCATAAGATTACATTTTGGAAAGACATGTTAATTTGAAATCAAAGTTATATTGGACACTCTTTTAATATTAGTAAACACTACTGTTGACTTGGCAATCTGCTGTGCTAGAAACTGTTCAGAGACACAAGAGACCCCTACAACTTACAATCTAAATAGATGCAATAAAGAAAAGATATAATGCACTTGTATCTAACAGGTGGAAAACTATGATAGAGCCAAAAACCAAAGGCAGGTCACTTGAGTACTAATCCAGTTTCTTAATTGTAAAATTGTCCTCCTTCTGTTTTGCAGGTTTAATTATATAATTGATACTACCACCATCTATTATTTTAACATTTGGAATCTTCACCTGTATTACAGCGTCATATTCTTTTATGGATTCCTCCAGCTCCTGAGCTTGATGTTGCATCTAAAAGATACAAATGTAGGTATAATTTCCTATGACCTGTGAACTACATTGCACCAACACATCCTTCATCTGGGGTTACTACAAAACAGTATAGAAGATGTAGAGAGTATTCAGTGTGGCAGCCACTAGAAAGAGATGCCATTAAATTAAATGAATCAATTGTGCTGGGATGTGTCCTAGCAGAGCTTCACTGGGCAAATCACACATTGCCCCTTGTCCCACCCCTTGGTCTTGTGGAACAATAGGCAACGCATTTCCCACTTCCAGAGATGGGCTCCCAGAAATCTCTGGGGTGCATCTCAAGACACAGGAAAAGCCTTTCCCCAGTTCCAGATGTTTCACAGAAATTGCTGGGGGCATGAAAGGTGCTCCCAAGACTTGAGCAGCCTGACCTGCATGGGAATTTCTATGGCCTGAATGACTGGGCCCCTCAAGCCCCTCCAGCACCTGCCCAAAGCAGTTGGAAAGTACAGGCAGCTCTTGGTTGTCTGTGCTCTTCCACCATAAAGCAAATAGATGCCCACTACAATAAAGTGATGCACATTATTACTACCACAACACTGTGGTACAACCAAGGATATGGGCATCTATTTGCTGTTGCCTGGTGCCACCATAAAATGTTATGGTGGCACAAAAGTGATGAAAAGCAATATTTGTTTCCACCCACAGAGTTTAAGGCTCTTTGTCTGCGAAATCTGGTGGGAACCAGTTTTCTCTTTATACTGATGTAAGGTACTGGGAAATCTTGGTCATGCTCCTGTGATGAGGTGTGTATGTGTATGCAGTTCATTTTAGGTTTGGGGCTTGATATTTTATTTTTACAGCATAACGCCCCATCCAAAGCACAATGCATGAAAACTATCACACTAACTTTAATGGTCTTTGAACCAGACTCCATTGTTCAATATAATGGAGGGTCAGAGGGGCTGTGAACTATGTCCAGGGTATGTTTATAGGGAAATTTGGTTGTTAACAAAACCAACTGGATAGCCCTGGGACTGAACCGTCTGCATATTTATGCAGAAATAAATTAGTAGTATTAACTGCTAATAAAGTACAATAATTGCTACTTAACACTATGAAGCAGATACTTAGAACTACTTATTTTGTGCAAAAAGATTCCATAACTTCTAATTTCAGAAACTAATAAAGATATGACTTGTTATTTAATTGTGTTTACTCAGATTTACTGAAAATCAATACATATTACTTGGGAATTATTATTACCACTTATCACTAATGCAAACACCAATAGGTGAAGAGTATCTGCTCAAGCCTGTGTTTTACCCTCTATCAAAAGAGGTGATTCAAACTAGGTAGAACATCCCTGCTACAGGCTCCCACAGAAAAGCCTACATGTCAGCTCACCCAAAGTTAACCCTTGTAGCGATTGGAAGCTGAACAAATCTTTACACAGATTTCAGAGAAAGGAATGCTGGGAACTAACATTTATAGGCTATCATAAAATGAAATACTCCTGAAAAATATTTTTGTATTAACATTTGGAATCATAGAATCATGGAAAATGAAGGTTGGAAGGGACCTGAGGAGGTCACATCTAAACCTACCTTTGCTCAGAGCAGGACCAGCTCCAACTAGATCATCCCAGCCAAGGCTTTGCCTACTCAGGTCTTAAAAACCTCCAAGGATGGAGAGTCCACCACCTACCTAGGTAACGTGTTCCAGTGCTTCACCACCCTGCTCATGAGACAGTTTTTCCTAATATCCAACCTAAACCTCCCTTGCTTCAACTTAAGACTATTGCTCTTTGTTCTGTCATCTGTCACCACTGAGAATGGATGCCTAGAAAACTTTTCTATCAATCTGAGCATAAGGATAGAGAAGTCACTCACCTTATGACTAAAAGGATATCATTTGTCACCATTTTTAAAAATACCCCTGTGATGTTTTTCTTTGCTTTGTCTGATGTCCATATCCTAAAGAGGTTTTGGTGAGAGCTCCAAAGATGCCTATTTTTCTCCTGTGTGAATTCTTCAAATACATGTGGGTGAATATTCTGTTTCCACCTCAGCTTTAATTTAGCCAAAATCTGTGCTGCTACACTCAAAAGTGTCAGTTTTCGTTCAGTCTCTCCTACATAATCTTAGTTGCTATTCTCTGACTCATTTTTGGTTAATCAATGTCTTTTTTTTTGTAATGAAGGGCCTTTAATTGAAGGCAACACTGTGTGTATAGCCCCATCAGTATAATTGAGAAAAGGACCTTTTATTTTGGTAATATGCCTACATATCTGCAACCAAAAAGCAGCATCACCTCTCTCGGGTAGCTAGGGACATGGCTCAGTATTTCTAAAGCAAACACCACCAATAATTAGTTTCATTGCCTCATTTGACATAATTGTTTTCCAAAAATCTCCTTCCTGAATGTGGATTTATTATGGTAGTTTATACAGGATGAGCAGCTGAGAACGTAATGAACCTTTTTGTACTTTACTGATCATATTCAGCCAGTGAGACTGACTTATAGCTATGCTTCTCTCCATCATCAAAGAGATATGTTGATACAAGTACCAGTGTGATTACCTTACCTTTGTGCAAACCTCATCTTCAGCAGTAGAAGCCAGTATACATTCCTGTAGCTTTCTCTAATGGGAGAAAACACTCAATAATAAACAACAATATTCAGTTCGGTATTATGTTATCAATATGGTTTTATGGTCAACAGCCTCTCACTCTCAACTAAACCCCATGATTTTATTTTCCACCATGCCCAGTTCAAGTCATCAGCCTGAACGCAAAGTGTTGTTCTTTGTGCACCAACTGACCTAGATGTGGCTTTAAATATATGTAGACTATACCCACAAAATTTACAACCATGTTGGATTGACCAAAACATTGACTGTTCCTCTCTTTAAGCCGTTACATCTTGCAAAAAAGCTTGAGTAATAGGTCAGGGAAAAGAAGAGCTGGTTCATGATAGTGGGTGATTTCCAGTACTCATTAGATCTGTATCTAGTAAAAACCTTACACAGCCATGTCCTCAACTTGCACATATTATTTATACCCCCAGGTTTTGTTAGAGGTTTCTAAAGGATGTAAGAGGGATAGGGGCCTAAATGCCTTTGGATTTCAAAGGGAGCTGGGTACCTAACTGCCCTAGTCTGACCAAACTGACAGTCACAGACACCAGGAACCTGAATTCACAGTCTGTTGTAGCAAATGAAGAGATTTCTGTTAGTTCCTGTACGGCAGTTGGGATGTGAAGTCAATCAAGTCTACTCGAACTGACTCCTTTTGTGTACCAAATGTTCCTTTTCCCTGGTTCTGTCTTTACTTATCTCCAATTTCCTGATCTGAAGTTGCAGCTGCCTATGGCTGTTCTGGCTGGCTTTTCTTGATGCCATTAAAGCTGAACTCTGAAATTAGATGGTATGATATGTCATTGTATTTCAGTTGCCTTAGGCCTGCATATATAACTTGCACATAAACTCATTATATTTCCAACAACGCTATCTGCTACAGCCCTAATTCTGAACTAAAAGTAACTCTACTAAGAGTCCCTGGAGTTACACTAGGAGATAAGATATGGGAGAATAATTTAGACATCATTTTCTTCTCATGTAAATTGGCATAAAGCTGGATTCATTCCACTGATTTCAGTAGAGATGGACAAGTTTACAACAGATGGCAGTGAGAAGTGAATCAAGTCTGCTATCCTTGGAGGTAGCGTAGGCCAAAGCAAGCACTGAAAGAAATCCAGTCATGCCAGCATGGAAATTTCAATACTTGTCAATATGCACAGCCATGGTAAAACCTGGTAATATACTATGGACATGGTATTACTTCTTAGCCTAAATAGCTCTGTGTAGGTGCCATGTATATGTAAAGCTGTTTGGTCTGCTTGGAGGGCTGAAGTGTAATGCAAAGTGTATCATTACTATTGTTGTTAATATTAATTGTTATTAATAATTAATATTGATAATGGCAGTTATTCTTATAATGCTTATGTATATGCATATGCATTCACTAAGGGCATTAGGTTTGGGGTATTGTTCTCAGAAGCATCTCAGGGTCTCTAACCTCCGTTTAGGCACTGCAACACTCTGTTGCACAAGGAGTCTATAGAAGATTTAGAACTGAATCCAGATCTCCAGGCTACTGCCTTAGTGGGTTATCCATCTCCGCTGGCAGGGACTATCCTTCTACCCCAACAGGAACACGGGAGGAAGGGGACGGGTAACAACAATATATGTACATCTCTGTTATCAAATCCCCATATAAGGAGTAGAGAAGATACTGATCAACAGCCGACTGACATCTTGACAGATGAAAGAAGATGTGACAAAGCCAGTCAGTCAATGGCACTTGGCAATGGTGTGGGAGAAGAGCCCAATGCGTGAACTGATAGTGATAGATAGTGATAATACTCTAGCTATAACCTTGTCATATTGAAAAATAGCATACATGCGCTACAGTATTAGATCCTTTTTATGTCAAAGATCTAATAAGTTACCCAACCAGCTAGTATAATTAAGGCACACCAATTTCTGTAGCCAATAGTACACAGGAGAATGATATGGCTGGCATTGCAACAAGCCATGTTTGGTTCCCCAGCGTGAAGCATCCATTTACAGCTGAATTAATTGGAGACAGTCTTTGGCTCAAATCTGAATCAAAGCTTAAACTGCCTGGAACTTCAGCTTAACTACTTCTCTGGCCCTTCCCAGCAGAGGTTTGAAGGGCAGCAACAACTTGCCAGCAAGATCTCACAAAAGTTTAGCCATGTTCTTCAGGCTTAATCAGAACCAGCTCCCACTGAGGTCAAATTTAAGATGGAAACTGAGCTAGGACTAAGGACTGCATGGTGACCAAACATTGTTTAATCAGGCTGGAAAAGAGAGATCTGATTCTTCCCTGCCTTCCAGCTTGTGCAATCCTTTACACTTCTGCAGTGTGGGTATAAAGTTCTCCCTTTCTATCATCTACACAAATGAAAGGGGTATGGAATAAAGCAGTATGGAACAAGCTCTGGGCAGTTAGAATAAAGAAGTGAACAAACTTTTCCAAAGCATGAAAGGATCTTTGGATTTTGTTCACATCTTCCTTTTTAACCAAACCTTGACCTGATCAAACTAAAGGAAAGCAAGAAGTCTAATTCAGATCCCACAACCACCAGAGAGGCTTGCTAACAGAAAGTAGGAAGTTTGGTTTAGCAGGGGAGGTGCTGAACTGGGATTAAAGAAAGTTCTCTTGACTTTCTAGTCAGGCCATAACTCTGTCTGACCTGGGGCAAACCCCTGAATCATTCTGTGCACCATTGATATGCTCCTATTGGATCAAAACATCTGAATGCTTGAGGTCTCAGGTAGCACCATGGTGAAAAAGGCCATGTTGGGTTATTCATGCTGGTGCTAGAAGAACTGCAGATTCCAAGGAATCAGGCAGATCCTGAAATGGGATTGCTTTCTCCAGCTCAACATCACACAGGATGTCAGAGGAAGAACTGAATTCACTTCTCCCAGGAAAGCACCTTTACCACTTGCACACCCTTCCTCTTGCCAGGTGGGTAACTAGGGAGAACTGGTTCTACAACAGGATAGAACTACTGAAATCAGGAGACCTTTTTTGGATCCTGAGAGCAAAAGCTGAAACTCGATCTGGAATAATGAAGCTGGGTCTGAAATAGGATCAACTGTATGCCAAACAGTCAAAGTTGTTGCTATAACAGGTAAGACAGGGCTCTCCAATTGTAGCCCAAGGGCCACATATAGGCTAAGGGGTTTAAGTTGTGGTTCTTGGGCTTGGTCAAAGTATTTTTCTGGCTACCCTCGCCCCAGGGTCTAAGGCCGCAGTGTATGGAGCAGGGGTTGAGCCCAGGGTTGCGTGGGTGCACGGTGCAACACTGGGGGAGGAGATGCCTGTATGGGTGCATGGTGCAATGGCAGGGTGGTCCACGTGGCCTGGGGCTCACCCTGGTGTGGCCTACACGGCTCTTGCTGGTGCACTCCATGGGGCATGCAGCCTCCCCAGCTCCTTGGAAGTTGAACAGCCCTGAGCTAAAACAGTAAAGCTAATCAACATGCCATGCCATGATGAAATGATGAGCTGGGCAGGGTTTGCTGTCCTGACTGGCAGCATAGGTTGTTGAAAACATGGTCCTGTAGCATTCATCCTATGCCTTCTGTTCATTTTCTAAACACAGCTCCACACATTCCTACGTGCAATTTCCCCCAAACCTCAGAGGCGTGTTGCTGCCTTGTGCTGCATTTCATGCTCTTACAAGTACATGCTGACATGCTGCTCATCTTTTGTGCTAAAATGAAGAGGAAACCATCCCAAGGGATGTTGTCTGCTCTTCCCACTTACCTCCTCAGAGAGCATAAGCATTCTCAAATTGAAATCTTCATTGTCTTTCTCCTGTGGGAAGAAAAAAAGATTCCTTCATTGAAATAATAGGGCACAGAGCTGGTTCTCTGCTCCTGCTGGCAGCCAGGCACATGAATTTGTCAGAAGTAGTGACTACTTTATGAAAGTAGTCCCATTGAAGAAACGTATGTTTCTCCAGTTCTACATGCATAAGGCTAGTTTCACTGAAGTCACACCAAGGGTAGCTGGAAGAACACAGTGGTGGGAAGCCTGTTATTCACTCAGGCAGCCATATTAATTAGGCCTGTGTGAGTCGGCAGCGATCCGATCTGGCTTCGGATCTGGCCGCTTTGGATGGCCATGATCCGATTTGGGGCTCCAGACTGGGTTTCTGCCTTGATCCGGCCAAAGCAGCTCCAAAGCTTCAGAGCCACCTCAGAGATCCAGCCATAGGGTATAATGGGGAATCAATGAAATATCTATAACTTTGTTGTTTTCTGTCTGATTTGAAGGAAACTTGCAGGGATTGTAGCCTCAGTTTTGCTTGTCCACAGCTTGAGGGGCAGTTCCCCCCAAACCCTTGCACTTATCTTCTTGAAACTTGGCAGGCTTTGTGGCCTCAGCAAAAGCTACCAGCCCTGCAGTTTTGACCCCCCTGCATTGTAACATGTAGACGTGACAGGAATTTTGCTTTCAAGAATTTGGGGTGCTGTTCCTCCCAAACCCCTGCACTGATCTTCTTGAAGCTTGATAGGCTTCATCCTTGCTGCAGAGTCTACCACCCCTGAAAATTTCATCCAAATTGGACAAAAAAACAACAAAGTTATAGATCTCTTATTGTTTCCCCGTTATACCTTATGGCCGGATCTCCAAGGCAGCTCTGAACCTCTTCGGGAAGCTGAATGAGGCAGCGTTTCGACCCGGATGCATTGTTTCGGACCCCGGAGCATCCAAAGCTTCTCCAGATCCGAAGCTCTGTCCGAAGCCTCGCACAGCCCTAATATTAATGGCCAGCACAGAAAGAAGGCTGAAGTGGACAGAGTGGCTGGAAATCCTCCGTGGGGCCTTGTACCTGCCTTGTGAGCCAGACATAGGGTTCCTGCAAGGTGCTCCACTGACTCCACCTCTGGACCAGGACTTAGGTTTACTTCCAAACCAGTTGCAACTGGTTGGTATCCACCTAGCTTCAGTAGAACAGGGGTAAATATTTGACAAGGGAGTTGTGAACTTCGATTACTTTAAAGATCAAAGTGTTATGTCATTGACTGGACAGGCTAATATTTTGCTTGTGTCCTGTGAACTGAACTGCAAGCTACACCTGCCTGAAGTGGGGGCTATTGTACCTTCCTCTGAAGCAGCTACTGTTGGCCATTCCTGGTGACATGATCTGCTCCATTTTGCACAGTTTCTATGTTGCTGCATGTGTCCACATGTGCACACACTAATGCACATTAACACGAGTGTGTAGATCGACCTGGGACAAAAGTTATTCTCAAGTCAATGGACACAGACAGTGTTAATGCACATTAGCACATCTACACATTTGCTAATGTGATTTAGCTATTCACACATAAATTTGATACCTGCTTTATGCAGGTATCACATTTAGGCGTGAATAGCCTTAAATCACCATTTTTAAGGCATGTTAATGATGCTCACATGTAGACATGCATCTTTAATGTGCCTTAAATTGGGCTAAAATGCATTAAATGTGCATGTGTAGACATGCCCACTGAGTAGCTAATGTGAATCTAACCTGCCAGCATGTAACCTGTGACTGGAGTCTTCTGACTCTACAAACTACGCATGTACAGACCTGCAGTGACATTCTATTCTTTCCAAATCATTGAAATGCCCATTTTATGGCTTTTTAAGGGGCATTTTCAGCACTTTATGCAGCCAGGAGATTCCTTTTTCCTTGGTCCATAGCCTTGCTCATGTGGATGACTCCAAATGACTATGTAGTCACATAGACTAAGGATGTGCAGTAGCAGCCATCACATGAACACATGACCTTTGTGGATGAGCTATGACTTAGACACCTGTGGCTGAATCCTGTGACTACCCACTTAGTCTTAGGAGGGAGGTAGGAGTATAGGTAGGTGCCATTCTGTTTCGATGGAAAAGATAGGAGCTCTCCCTCTCGCTTTGTGGTTGCCTATTTGTGCGACTACTTAGCTGTCCTTATGCATCAAAGAATAAAATTCCCTGGTTTTGATCCTATAGAGTAGAGCTGTCTGACTTAACAGCCATGGGCAGGGGCTGCACCACCCCACTCACCTCCCCAGCTACAAGCTCCCCTGGTACTATGTAATCAGACAGCTCCCTCCCCACTACCACACTGCATGGGGCAGTTCTTCTCATCTCCTTGGCTGTGGGTTTCACCAGCACTGCAGGCTGCACTGAGTCATGCCACCCTGCCATGCCCTACCCTGTGGGTCAGGGGGAGGAAAAGAAAGTCAGAGAAGGGAGGGGGAGACTGGAGACCCTGGCTGCAGAAGCAGCTGGAGGGACGAAGGCAGCAGTGGCCAGAGGGGGCTGCAGATAAACCTATGCAGCTCCCAGGCTGCTAGTTGAACAGCTCCACTGTAGAAGACCAAAAATTGGCCCTGTAGATGACCAGGGAACATTAGACTGTTACCCCCAATGTTTTGGAGGTGACAAGGTAACACCTTTCACAGGCGGTAAAGTAGGATGGGGGACACACCTTGCTGGAGTTGTTTCTCAGAGACATTTGTAATTGAATGGTTTTTGGTTGTAGCCATGTTGGTCTAAGGACATAGGCAGGCAAGGTTCTTTGAGTAGATGTGATATTTTTATTAGACCAACTGAGTAGTTGGAAAAAAGTTCTTGGCAAGCTTTTGGGCACAGTCACCTTTTTTCAGGCATCGAGAGTCTCTGCTGGTCTGAGACTCCAAGAAATAAGAAAAGCTAAAAGTGTGGCAGGATGTCAGTGAAAATGGAGTAAACAGGTAGAAATTAGAAAGACAGAAGCTAAAACAGAGGGGGCAGGGGGATGGGGAAGAAAGCAGGGGAAAAGAAAAAAAGGCTGAAGAGAGACATTACAGTGACAGAATATAAAGATAGAAAAGAGGATCTCAGTGAAAAAGAAAATAATAGGAGATCAGGAAAACAGGACAGAGAGAAGTTAAAAGTGTGAGAGGATGTAGTGAAAATATAAATAGGTGAAAAGGAGAAGCAAAAGGTAAAGCAGGGGAACGAGGGGGAAGAAAGCAGGGGAAAAGAAAGTCCTAAAGGAAATATTACAGGGTAAGAAAGAGGCTCTCAATGAAGAAGATAATTGTCTCCCTGATTTATTACTAAGGGCAGAAAAGTGGGGGAGAGGAAGGGATAAAAGTTGGGGGAAAAGAACAATGTAAGGGGTTGGGTCAGGCAGGTACCTGGTGAATCAGATGACAGAAAGGTTGTAATGTGCCATAAAACCAATGTCTATATTGAGTCCATGATTTTTTGTATCCAGTAGACTTATGAAGTGAAGTTTGTAGGCTCATCTATGGAAGGTGACATCCTGCCACACTTTTAGCTTCTCCCATTTCTTAGAGTCTCAGACCAGCAGAGACTCCCTGTGCCTGAAGAAGAGTGATTGCACCTGAAAGCTTGCCAAGAACTTTTTTCCAACTACTCAGTTGGTCTAATAAAAGATACCACATCTACTCAAAGAACCTTGCCTTTATAATTTAATGCTAAAAGGGGAATGGAAAGAACATCCTTAGCAAATGTTTGTCCTTCTATTAAAATGCTGATTGAACTATTCAAACAACTTTGATAAGGCTTCTGTTCTTGTTTCTCAGGAAACCATATAGAATTCTGTTTTTATTTTCATTAATAAAAAAGGTTTCTCATTTTAAAAAAATCTTCAGCAATGATAAGTGATACTGTTTTGTGCTACTGGCATGAATTTCTCTAGTAAGTACTATGTAATAATAATGTTTCACTGTTGTTCCTGTAGCAGTTGATGAAGATAATAACAATAATGCTGTTAATAGATGAAATGTAATACTACCAGCTTCCTTAGGTAAAGGTCCATTTCCAACTCCAGTACATGCTCTTCCTTCAAAGTTTTCTGGACTGTTTGGAGCTCTGCTTCTAAATGTATTTTCATGGTTTCTGCCTGCTTTATCCTATGCTCATTGGAGAAAGAAAAAAAACCTCAAGACAATAAATTCATAGTCCAAAAACTGTGAAGGTGGCTCAGAAATACAGAGCTGATTTCTGATTGCTGTTTTCTGATTGCTGATTTCTTCAGATTCTCATGTACACAACTATATCTTACACCTCTAGTAGTCACCAATTCACGAATTAGTTTATTCATTTCATTGCCTCTCTGACTCTGTCAGTTCATTATGTACTTTAAAGTTAGGCTTTTCAAAAGTGCCTAACTGACTTAGGAATACAAGGGCCATTGACTTTCTGCTTCAAATGTAAGTCCATAAAGGCATGTACATACACTTAACAAGTGAAAAGAAAGGAACCAAACAACTATAGTCTGTCAAGTCAATTTTATTTCTAAGCTAAATCTAGGATTCCTGGATGTTTGTATGGAGACATAGAAATGGTAACAACTGGCTTTAAAGTAGCTACCTTGAGTACCCTTGGTAATATAGCTGTATCAGCATGGAGCTCAGTGAGGGTTGCAAAGTCTACCTGATACACTGGGTACATTTTCAGATGGTATTCTGGATTGAGCTCTGTGCTGCCAGGGCTACACTGCTCAGAGTGCCCAATCCAGCTAGTTTAAAGCCTGTTGGGATCTTTCTATACTACACGAGTGTCACAGAAGTGACTGCTGTGTGGATACACCATGAATAAAGACAGATATCTCCCTCTCTAGGCACAGTCTGTTCACCTATATAGCCCTGACTATTCAACAGGTAATGGATGGAAATATTTGTATCATACATGAAGTATAAAGAAAATCCTCGTGCTCCAGAACACTAGTTCCCATACAGGCTTTGAGTGTACACATGGGAACATTTGGATTTGGTGACAGATGATGCAGGCACACATGAACCTATGAACTGTTCTGCTGGTCAGGGGTGAGGGGAGGCGGCAGTGGGGCTGGAGATGGCCAGCTCTATCTACAAACTGGAGTGGAGGGCAGCAAAGGGTGAAGCCAGGAGGTCCTGGCAATGTGCTAAATTCACACATGTCAAAGGCAGCATTTCTTGAGTCCCAAATCAATTTAAAGCTGGCATAGACCGGTGGGAATTGGACCACCCTGCTTTCACAGCAAAAAATCAAGTCCAGCTGTTGTTTCAGCAAATCATCTACCAATCTCTAACTGATGAGAGAGAGGAATAACCTTTCTCTGGGGGTAGGTTATTCTATAACTGTCTTGCACATTTCTCTGGCCACTTCTGGAGACAGGATTCAGCATGAGCTGGACCCTAGGTCTGTTCTGGTGTGATGATTTCTAGGCACCCTGTGATAAAAGCCTGATGTCATGGTAAGAGGGCTTTTTTCCCCATTTCAAAGCCTAGTATGGCTTGTTAATGTCCGGGCCATTAGCAGAGGGAAGCTAATCCAAAAACTGTACTGCTAACATTTCCCCCCTTCATTGTGGCTTCCAACCACCTATTAGAAGCAGAACACTGATTCCAGTGTCCTTCTCTTCATGGGATAGAAGCACAGGCTGGAAGATTGTGCTCAGATGTGGTGAGGTGTAGCAGGATTTATTTTTGGAAAGCTCCATGAAAAACTGGCCCCTTAGCACTCTTAGATGTGTCATTAGGGCGTTTGATATTTGCTTCATACCACATCCTCTTAGACGTTACCTGCTGAGCTCTGCCTCCATGCTGCTTATGTCTTTTTCTACATCTCTAATATTAGCTTTGATGATCTCTTCTTCCTTTAGCAGACATTCAATTTGCTCTTTCAGCAACATGTTTATATGCCAGGACTGGAAAACAGAGTCTTCTTCTGTTGATATCCATGTGGCCCTGGCAGAAGAAAAGAGCATGCAGTCTCATAGACATTAGGGCTGGAAGGGATCATCAGGTCCAGGTTTTTTTTGTCTGGGTTTGTTTTTTTTTTTGAGGGTGAAGGGGCATTTTTATTATTATCTCAAGGAGCTGTAACATATTGCAGTGACAGGTCCCAGCAGGTCTTTTCACTACAAATAGAATTTGACTCTTTTACAAGAATGAGAGAGGTTAAATAGAACAGTTAAAAATAGTATTTAAAAAAACCAACAATGTAGACTGATATAGACATCTCTACATACACACATTCCTTCCATTACAAAATCCCAGAGAAACATTTAGTGCATCACCTACAACTTGTTCATTTTTCCTTTTACTCAAGTCTTTTCCTAGCTGACACGTCATTCAAGCCTGCAAACAACTGAAACAACTACTCTGTAAGTATTTTGTAAATTCTGGCTGGAATGAACTCTAAACACTCTCTTTACCTATTTCCAAACTGGGGACATTGAACACTGAGCAAGCAACTTTGTATCAGTCTGCCACCCATGTAACTTCATGGAAGTCTATGGATTGACTTCACAGATCAATCTGTCCTGCTGATTTTAAAAGTACTGATAAAATAGATCCTTTCAGATGAAAAGTTAGGACAATTTGTCCAATGTAATCAGTAATTACCACCAGTTTGTGTGTAGTGATACCAGCATTAAAACTGGACGCTGGTTTAGGTGGAAAACAGGAATAATCCTGGATGTTCAGCATCTGGATGGAGTAGAACCTTTGCCTGTTTAAGAAGTTGCCCTCAAAGTTTGAGGGTGACTTGAGGGGATAATGGATGTAACTCATGATAGTCAAGGGAAATGGGAACCAGGTTGAGATACAGCTCTAGTGATGAAGAGACATTCAGAAAGAAAGGCACATGTGTCTTAGTGGCTGCTTTAGTCTCATGGAAGTTGCCAGCATTAGGCATGTGCGAGTCGGCAGCGATCCAATCCGGCTTCGGGTTCTGGCTACTTCAGATGCCAGGGATCTGATCCACAGCTCCAGACTGGGTTTCTGCTTCGATCCAGCCGAAGCGGCTCCGAAGCTTCGGAGCAGCCTCAGAGATCTGGCCATAGGGTATAATGGGGAATCAATTAAATGTCTATAACTTTGCTGTTTTTTGTCTGATTTGGATGAAGCTTCTAGAGATGGTATCCCCTTCTGAGAGCATGAAGTCTGCCAAGTTTCAAGAAGATCAGTGCAGAAGTTTGGGAGGAACTGCACCCCATATTCTTGAAAGCAAAACTCATGTCACGTATACCTGTTACAACACAGGGGGGTCAAAACTGCAGGAATAGTAGCTCCTGGTGAGGCCAAAAAGCCTGCCATGTTTCATGCAGAACAGTGCAGAGGTTTGGTGGGAACTGCACCTCAATCTGTGGAGAAGCAAAACTCATGACATGGGTGACACTGCGTGTGTTAAACTGTAGCAAGGTGAAAGCTGCAGGGATGGTAGCCCCTGCTGAGGCCACGATGCCTGCCAGCTGTCGTAGAGATCGGTGCAGGGGGGTTTTCTGGGGCCCTGCACCCCAAACTGCTGACAGACAAAACTCGTGACATGCGTGCTTGTAGGACTGACTGTGTCTGTCTTGGGGCAGTTGATTGTCTGTATTGATTATTTCCTCTCCTTAGTCTCTGCTTTTGTAGGTGCTAATTGACGGCAATTAACTGGCTACATTAGCTCCATCCTGTGTATTGAGCTGGTCCCTGAGTGAATTATGATTGATTGGTAACTGGTAACACAGTAGCTTGGCAACCAGGCCTGCAGTAGTGTCTCCCAGCCCCAAAACAGAGACAGTCAGTCCCACAAGCATCTGTGGCATGAATTTTGCCTGTCAGCAGCTAGGGGTGCAGGGCCCCAGAACCCCCCTGCACTGATATCCTTGACAGCTGGCAGGCGTCGTGGCCTCAGCAGGGGCTAGCAGGCCTGCAGCTTTCACTCTGCTGTGCCTTAACACACGTAGTGGCACCTATGGCATGTGTTGCTTCTCCGCATCTTGAAGTGCAGTTGCCCCCAAACCCCTGCACCGATCTTCTTGAGACTTGGCAGACTTTGTGGCCTCAGCAGGGGCTACCATGCCTGCAGTTTTCACCCTGCTGTGGTGTAACACATAGACGTGACGTAAGTTTTGCTTTCAAGAATTTGGGGTGCAGTCCCTCCCAACC